GTGTCTGTAGGGAGACCATGACCAGCTGGGTCACTCTGAGCAGTGTCACTGACATGTTCTCCTCCCTCCCTACAAAATACTCAGGGAAAAAGGGTTTTTATCCAACAAGAAGGGATTAGAACAAACACAATACTATTGTTCATAGTAGTTAAAAACAAGGTACAGGGGAAAAAAACCCAGGAGAATGGAGAGTATATCCATTCACCAGACTGAAGGGTCTGTCTGGRGAGGATTTTGGAGAATTTCTCACTTTGCAAATGATGTGGCCATCAAATTTTGGCAGAGAAATGCCAGTTGAAGCTTGATGCGGCACATGGAGCACCATTTGTTCAGTCTCGAGGGGGTTCTCAGGGAATGTGTCTTCTCTAACCATGTTGAAATATTGCATCATAAAAAAAAATCCACAGTCATAAAGGTTTTTTTCTTCCTCACGCGCAGCAAGCATTTCTCTCTCTTCTCTGGTTAGGCATGTTCCCCTTGTCAGCAGAGGAACCTGAGAGCAACAGGAAACTGCACCACCTGCTCAACGTGGTCACGGAGGCCTTGGTGTGGGTTATTGCCAAGAGTGGGATCCCCTCTCAGCAGCAGACAACTCGCTTGGCCAATCTGCTGATGCTCCTCTCGCATGTCAGGCACGCCAGGTACATCTCAGAGAGTGGGTGACACTTGGGTTATGGCAGTGTTTGCTTATTACAGCAAAAAAAAAAGGGTGGCTGGAACTGCAGAGCGCTCCTGWGGGAATCCTGGCTCTGCTCTTCACCTCTGTCCTGTGAGGCTTTTCTTCCTGGCATGATAAAACAGGCAGTGAACTCAAGTGGTTGTTGGCACTCAATGGTGTGACGATATTAAAATGCTCATTTTATTTATGTATTAACCTTATTACATTAAATTATTCATTATGAAGCTGCCTGAAATGTTTAACAATAGTAACACAAATTCAGCCCTTAAAAAAAAAAACAAACCAAAAAACCACCCCACCCAGCCAACAAAACACTTTAATTCAAAATGAAAATCTGTTCCAAAACTGATCTGCAGTGTGGGCTGTRGCAGAGCAAAGTGGACTTTGGGGGCCATGCTTTTCCTAGAGCCCATTTGTAGCCTTTGATGTGCAGCCACAGTGTTTTTGCCAAGTGACTCACGCTGCAGCAATGCCAAGCTCCCGATTTCCCCATGGGAAGTGGCTCCTCTGCTCCCTGGCAGCTCTTGGACCTCCTTGGGCTGTTCATCTGTGCTTATGTGCCAGCAGACAGAAACAGGGTCCTACGAACAGAGGCTTGAAGTTTCAGTCTGTTTGTAATTTTAAATTATTACCCAGAGGCCAGATCCTCACCAAGCTGTCCCGTGGCTTGACTTTGTGCTGTGTGTGCAGGGAAGGTGTCCTGGGACTGGGCTGGAGCACACAAGGGAGAGTTGGGGGTATCTGTAAGGTTGGGGACACTGGTAAAGGGATGATCACCTTTGCAATAAGCCCTGGGAGAGCAGATGGCAGCAGCAGGGACCTGATGGKGCTGAAAGGCAGCTTTAACAGGCAGTTTGTGAACTGGGGATGAGTTTGAGACCGGCCTTGTAGAAGTCCCAGCACCAGCCAGAGCTGAACCTGTCTCCAATGTGCTCCACATCACAGCTTTGCAGAAGTTGTTCTGGCATTCTGCGAGTAAACATCATGAATCTTTGTGAAATTTTTATATTTTCTCATTAAGCCAAGATTTTTTTATGCCGTCTCTCCCTCAGCCAAAATCTGGGGGCTGCTTGTTGTGTCCKGTCTTCTTTAGGTTGCTCAGTGCTGGTCAGTCAGTTTGACTTTGTTCTGGAAATAATTGATTTAACAGATGATGCAGGACTCTCGAGAGCTGGGTGTGGGAGAGAGACAGMAATTTCTTCCAGCCCATTAACATATTCCTAACTCTTGAATTGCAGCAGAGCCTTGTTTATCTGGAGTATAAATATGTGTGACTACAATAGCAATAGCCATTTTTAGTCCCAGCCATGATACAGCACTGAGTGTTCAAGCTATCAAGGTGTCATTTTATTTTACTGCATAACTGAAAGGTTATTTTTAAAGTCTGTAGCCACTTGTAAGATCCACTGTTGGACATGCAGAGAGTAAACAAAGTGCTTGAAATTAGTTGGGTAATTAGGTCTTCCTGCTGAGACAGATAGGAGAGGCAGATAGTCATTAGTAAACTGCATTTAGTAAATCCTCCTTTTGTATAAAGTTTCCAAGTGGGGCCTTCCACCTTTAGAGCAGCCAAGAGGTTTTTGTCTTTCATTACAAAAAGGTTGGTACATCTGAATTATTTCCCAAAGTCAGTTTATATGGTGTAAAGCAAAACTTGCTTCTCTAAACAGAACACTCAGCCTTAAAGTATTGGGATTTGTTACTGCTGATATGGTGAGTGATCTGGGGGGGCCACAGCAGATAAATCCTCCTAAATCCAAATTTAAAAAGAAGACTGTCTTGAAACCATGAACGTGTTTTCCTTCTCTGCACTGTTGGAAGCTGATTGCTGAGTTATTTTCTGTTCTCCTGCACAGTAACAAGGGAATGGAGCATCTCCTGAGCATGAAGTGTAAAAATGTGGTGCCAGTGTATGATTTGCTGCTGGAGATGCTGAATGCTCACACGCTCCGAGGGCAAAGGAAGTCCCCGGCCACACACCCAGAATTTGGTCCCCTGGAGCAAATGGAGCCTGGAGACAGCCTGAGGAACGGGACACCCCAGTAATTGTGTCAACACCTGGAAATGTGAGGCTTTTTCAAAGCAACAGGAGAAAACAGAACTGCTGCGCTGGGTGCAGAAGTGTGACCTGGTGTGGGCTCTCATCCCTGCTGGATTGGCACTTTGGTGTCTCGGGAGAGCCGTGGGACGCTCACCTCGTCCGTGTTTCTGACATTGTCACAGCTGCACTGCAGTAGTGCCTTTTCTGAGACTCTGCAAAAGCACCTTATGAAATCAAAGCCTCAGAACAGCACTGTGGGATGGGGAATCGCTGCCTCTCCTCCTCAGAGCACAACTGAGAGGGAGAGGTACAGGGACAGGTTTGAGGTGGCTGAAGAAGCCTGAGCCAGAGCTCAGAGAGGGCACCTTGGTCTCTGCCTCCAGATTTAAGCACTGACTGGACAATGTCCTCTTTCAGCATGGGATGGAACTGCAGAAGAGAATCATTTGGGACAGACGTGTGCTGGTCCCTGGGGAATGCCTGCTCTGCAGCTGATCCAGATAAAGTGCCGCGATACAGTGAAAAGGAGCTTTTTCCCAAATATGCAATGGCTTCAAGGGCCTTCATTTGAAGGTTGTTTAAAATAGCTTCTAGGGTCAGTTCAGAGCCTCTGCAGAAAGTTTAAACTGWGCTTAAGTTTGTATTTTGTGAGCCTGTCCTTAACACTCACATCATTTTCTGCTTATAATTCTTCAGTGCTTTAAGCAACGACCAAATCATCTGGATATTTCAGTCAATGCCAAACCTTTGAAATGTGTTTTGTCTGTGAGATTAACATGTTGTTTTATATATTTATTAATGATGTTAAATCTATGCTAATGATTAGGTACAAGAAGTTGCTCTGTGAATATTAACTGTTTGTATTTGTATATGATCTGCTGATTGTATATGATCTGCTGATTGTATATGATCTGCTGGCCTTGCGAAACCAGCTAAAAAAAAACAAACAAACTTCCCACCCCTTTGACTGGTGTGTGGAATTATGTCCTGTCCACCCGAAATCTCTTGCAGGGGGTGAGGCACTGGATGGGAACATGGATGGGGATCTGTTTTTGTCTGCTGCCCTGAGGTTTGCTGCTTGCTTGCTCTCAGCATGCATGGCACCCTGTGCTGTGGTTTTCATATCTCTATAGGAGCCCTCAAAGAACGAGGATGGGGATAACGGTAAATGTGATGTAGAGATGGGGATAATGATAAACGTGAAGAAACGTAGAGATGGGGATAATGATAAATGTGAAGACAATGTAGAGATGGGGATAATGATAAATGTGAAGACAATGTAGAGATGGGGATAATGATAAATGTGAAGACAATGTAGAGATGGGGATAATGATAAATGTGAAGACAATGTAGAGATGGGGATAATGATAAATGTGAAGACAATGTAGAGATGGGGATAATGTAAAGCACTACTTTGCTTTGCAAGTGTGATGACTTGTTTGAATTACACTGAAGATGTAGTGGTTTAAACTTCCTTGTTGTGCTGATTTCTGCATGTGTTTAAGCTGCACTGAGTAAAAAAAAACCTGATTAAATAGCCTGGCTGATGACCCCAGAGATCAGCAGGGTGGCATCATTCATTCTGACAACTGTCTATCTAAATGGAAACATTTAAATATAGCACATGCATGTTCTGGGCATTATGGTGAAATAAATTTGAATCACATCAAAAGTCTATTTTGAGCCAATAAGTCTTTTGGATTAGGGACTTTGATTAGTATGTCATTTGCATACTTTGAATATTAGTCAAACCATTAAACTTGATGGTTTTTTAAAGCCAAGGACAATATTTTTTATAGGAGGTGCATAAAGAGTTTTCAGTGAGTTAACACAAATCCGTTTGTCTGTTCTGATCCTGTACTATACCAGATGCTGCTGCTGATCTAAATTTTTACTCACTGCCTTTTTATTGTTTTTAAAAATTGTAATATAGCAGTGTCCTTCTAAAGAAGTGTAGTATTTGCAACAAAAAAAARGGRRRAAAAAAAAGTGACTACAGTCTGGAATTTATTGGTACTTTCATTTTGGAGATGTTTTTGCTGTGAAACAAACCTGTCTCAGTATTTTGTGGGCTTGATTGTGTTCTGGCCTCATTGCCTGTTGTATTGTTCTTTCTCTGATTTTCCTTATCCTGTGCTATCTTTTGGTTTAATACAGTTTTTCAAAGAAATGTTTAAGTGATTTGTTTGTTTGTTTTGCTTTRAAAGTGCTGAATTTATGTACAATTTTGAAACAAGCCTCTTAAAGAGAAAATGGGAAAGACTGGGTATAAATCATGAAATTAGCTTCTCAATGGAAATTTGCTGTGGATTGACTGTGTAAAAGGGTGATGCTGCAGTTTTGTGCCATGTGGTGTTGTTTATATATGTTGCCAAGTGCAAATAGGAAAATGCTGTGATTTTAATCTCCTTTTTGTCTTGTTGAACATAATTTTATTAAAAGTCACTGACTGTGTTTSAAAATGGGTGCAAGTCAAGAGCTGTGGAGTCTGGATTAATGTAGCTGTGACCATATTGGGGTAAGGAGGGAGATGCTCATCTCCAGCAGCACAGGGGGGATGTGGCAGAGGGACCGAACACTGCTGGGTCTGTTGGGAGAAATTCTGGGTTTGTCCCAGGTCTGGATCCCCCAGATGCTCTCAGGTTCTGCATTCCTGGTGTGGGGCATGTCCCTGCCAGCCCTGAGCTCCCTCGCTGTGCTCCCACTTGGACATTGGGGACATTTCCAGCCTCGGRGTCCCCAGGAGCTGCAGGGCTCTGAGGAGGGGCTGTTTTATCATTTTCCTTCATCGCTTGGCTCTAACTCAGCTTCTGCTGGGACCTGGCAGAGCTGCTGCTGCTGCTTGGAGAAATCGTGCTGCACTCCTGGGGTGTTCACAGAGGTGAGCAAACCTGGCTCAGGAGAGAGGGGTGGTGGCCATGGGTTAAAAAAAAGAAAAAAGAAAAAAAGTAAGGCAGGAAGACCAAATTTTTTAACAGTGCACATAAGGAAAACATGCTGAGCTTCCTCTCTCGAGTCTGGAAGTCTTGAGGAACTGGAACCTGATGGTAAAACAACCTTGGTTGATTTTCTTTTATTTCTTCTTCTTTTTATTTATTTCTTCTTTTTTTTTTTTTAAAAAAGAAAGTGGTTTCAGACAGGTAAAATGCTTTGTCTCCAGGAATGTGAGACCTTTTCCACACCTCTGTCTTCCTTCAAATTACCCATTTTTAGTGCTGTCATGTTTCCTGTCAGAGAGGACAGTGTGARGGAAAGATCTGTAGATGTGTTGAAACTCTCTTGCTTGAGATTTTGCCCAACAGGGTAAGTGCTCCTATAAAATAGCAAGCTAAGATAGTATTAAGGTTTTTTTAAAATAAATATTCATATTTCCGTAATTATATTAATTCCTTGCTGAATGACTGAATGACAGCTCTATAGATGGATCATTGTGGTGAAAGGATGGTTTAAGTGCTGGGACTTTTTTCTTTTACTCTTGATGACCTGGGAAGTATGAAAAATACTTGCTGTATTYGCATCATGACAGTGCTTTAACAGAGCCTAAAAATGCAGTGAGCCCCAGAAAGTTGATCCTATTGGAGCTATCACCAGCACTTGCCCTCTTCTAAGGTAAGAATTTTTGTCTTGTTGGGACTGTTATAAAGATTGTGGGTCTGGGGACTCACCATGGAACAGCTCTGATCATGCCAAGCATGTTCCAGCCAGGGAGGAGCAGCTGCATTTTACCCTGTAATTTCTGAGCTGTTATAACTTCTGTTAGGATGTGAATAAAATTCTYACTTTCCTCTAATTTTACCCCAGGCCATCCTTCCACGCTTCCATACACTCAGAGCTGGAAGCCATGGAAACACCTTTGCTATCATCTCCATCCATCACASAAGAAATGGTTTGACATTACCTAGGTCCTGTGAGATAATGAGTCAGCAAAGCAGTTGTGGTCATCTGTTGTGCTGACCCAGTGCCTAAAACGATTTTAGAGACTGTTGCTAATGGGAGTATGAAAAGCAAGTGGATTGCTAAAATATGGAAAGTAAGTATTATTTAAAATAATTTTTCACAATATTTTACTATCAACTGAAGTGTGGGGTGTTAAATGGCACTTTCATGGCTAAAATTTTGTTTTATTTATGATCTGTGTATTGTTTAACTCCATCTTTACATTCCTCTTGCATTGTTGAGTGTGCACAATTTCAATTTTAAGGGCACAAAGAAAAGATTTCCATGCTATAMAAATGCCAACATCTGCTGCTACTGCCTCAACAGACAAAACCTTCCTCACTCATCAGTATCATGTAGTCAGGAGCTGGCATTGCCATTACCAGGGCTTACTGCACATCTCCTACGCTTGTTTTCCACAACATTTTCTGTTCTGAGTCCTGTCATTTGAGTTTCAACATTTCACCCTCTGTGAGTTTGTAATGGAAATGGGTTCTCCACTGAAAGTGGTGTCTCTTAAAGGAATTTATGTATGTTATGGTAATGTGGAAACAAACCGACAACAGCTCAGCCCCTCCCTTCCTCTCTTCTCAGCTGTCTTTATTTCTGAGAACGATGGTATTTGTCTGGCACTGTGTTTCATTCAGTTGTGGATTGCTGCAGCTGACTAAACAGGCATCATGAAAAGTGAATATATGGCTTTTTGTTAATTTTGTCACTGTCCTGTAGCTGAGCTCAGCMTGGTCTCATGAGCATATAATGTGTGTGATCAGTTCTGAGGGACCCCTTCCACCAGACCAGGCTCCTCCAATCCCCAAACCTGCCCTGGAACACTTCCAGGGATGGGGMAGCCACAGCTTCTCTGGACAACTTATTCCAATGCTTCACCACCCTCAGAGAAGGAATTTCTTCCTCACATCTAATCTAAACCTGCCTTTTGGCAGTTTAGAGCCATCACCCTCTGTCTTATACTAAAAATCCTCCATCTTACCCTGTAAAAAGCCCGTCTCCAGCTCTCTAGGAGAACCCCTTTAGGTACCACAAGTTGCTCTTAGGTCTTCCTGGAGCCTTCTCATTGCTTTTGACAACGCTGGATTGGGGGGCAGGCATAGCCAAAAATAGACTGAGGCCTCATCTCACTGCCAAAAAAATAAGATGTCAACTCAAAACTAATTCTGGCTTGGTTTGATACCTACAGAGCATGTGCACAGGCTGTGCTTGCTCCCACTACTGCATCTGCCCTCTCTTTCAAGTATTTTTTTTTTCCCTTCCCTGGCCCCTAACAACCCAGTCCTGAGTGAGATGATGACACAAAGAAAKTGGTGGGGATAGAAAATGACTTGTTTAAAGCAGATTTCAGTGTCAGCCTTTAGTGCAGTGATTATAATCAACTGGAAATAAAACTATTTAAAATAGATTTGGAGGAAAAGAGATTTAAGCTATTTCCTCGACTTTTTTTTTGTGACATTTTGAGATAATTTCTTGAAAGCTCCTCTTTTTATATATTACATCAGCTCAACAATTTGATATAACTGTTCATAATGAAAGGAAATTGTAGGCTATGAAATTTTCCTTAGACCTTTTAACATTGTTCAATTTTTTTCCCCTGCACAGGTTCTTTAATGGAAGAAGAACTGACTATTATGTCAGCACCTGACTATTACTTCTTGGCAGAAAGGTCTGCATGGGCATTTGTGACAAGCTGGCAATGAAATAATGGTTTMGAGTTGGCTCACTTCTAGAGAGTAAGAAACTTAAATTAGCTCCATCTTAAAGTAATTGCTTTGAAAAGATCAAATAATGATGACAAGAGGGAGAGAGGTCASTGTGGATGCCTGAGTACAGTGAGGGGTGGGGGGATCCCTCTCTGGATGYAGCACCAGTGCCAGAGCTGTAGCTCGGTCCTTGGAGCTGGAGCACAKCTCTGGCACCCCAACACAGCTTGTGAGTTTAGTTTAAGATCTTGGAAATAAACCACACTGGGTTTGTCCATATGCCCATGGCTGGCAAACAGCTGGTGGTTTGGCCCTGCTCTGAACACCAGGACAAAGCAGTTTGCCTCATAAATCCCCCTGCCAGAAGATGGGCAAACAGCAACCAGCTGGAGAAAGGGTGGGAGAACTCTGAGATCTCATTTTCTATGGGCGAGCACTACAGAAAGTGGCCAATTCCTGGGTGACTTCGCTGCACCACACAAAAAGCATTTGACCAAACCCCTTACTACTGCACTGAGCTCTCCTCCACGTGCATTTCCCCACTCTAGCATCCCCCTACAAAAATTCCAGAGTGGGCACTAGTTCAGCATTTAAACATTAATTGGTTCAACTTCATATTCTTCCTCCAGGAAATCACCAACAGATRCAAAGGAAAGGATCTTTGCATGGAACACTTCAGGATTTGTGATCTCTTGCTCTGACAAGCARGGGAGTGCTTGTGCTTCTGCCAGCACCACGTTAGCAGCAAAGAAGGTGACTCTTCCAGGAGTGGAAGGGGCAGCACTGCTGGAACATAAAGCTGGTTTACCCCTGCCCAGACACACCCACACTCCTGCAGACATTGGCAAAATTTTAATGACAGTACTCAAACTGTACAACCGAGGGGCAGGGGCAACGCTGACTGTACACAGTGTTTCTCCAGCCACTGCCCAAGCGCCAGTTTCATTTTAAAAACAAAGCTTATAAAAATGCACAATTCTCTCCCAAGGTACTGTACACTATTCAGCAGGTTAAAAACTGGAAAAAAAAAATCTTTCATTAAAAAAGTCATTGCACTATTTGTACACATCAGGGATAGTCTACATCATCATGTTCATCTAGAAAATATGTGCATTATAAAYCATTTCCATGCAATGCAGCAATTCCTTATTTCAAAGGTGGTATAAAAAGACAACACAGCAGTCCTAACCACTAGAACACTTTATGTCAAACAAAACAAATGTGCAKCATGATACTGAACGTGTTAGATGAATAAAATACAATAACAAAGATCCAAAAATATGCAATTTTCTTTTGTTTTCAACAAGTGACTACAGTAGCA